AGGTTAGGGAGGCAGGTATGAGCTGGGCTGGTTTTGGGATGCGGTCGGGGGAGGGGAGATTTTGAAGCTTGTGAAGTCCACATTGATACCATTGGGATGCAGGGTTCCCAAGCGGAATATGAGATGCTGTTCCTGCAACCTTCGGGTGGCATCATTGTGGCACTGCAGGAGGCCCAGGATGGACATGTCGTCCAAGGAGTGGGAGCGGGAGTTGAAATGGTTCACGACTGGGAGGTGCAGTTGTTTGGTGCGAACCGAGTGTAGGTGTTCCGCAAAGCGGTCCCCAAGCCTCCGTTTGGTTTACAGGGATAAGGTAGGATTCTTTTCAGAGCATTAGTGTGAACCCATGACTGTGCAGGTTTCCTCCGGGTGCTCCAGTTTCCTCCCACAGTCCAAAGATGTGCAGGCTAGGGTGGGTTGGCCAAGGGAAATTGCCCGATAGTGTTCAGGGATGTGTAGATTAAATGGGTTTATAAGGGTTATGGGTCTGGGTGGGATGCTGTGTGGGTCGGTGTGGACTTGTTGGGCCGAAGGGCCTGTTTCCACACTGTAACGATTCTATGATCTATTCTAACTTGATATGCTGAATTGCCTCTGTCTGCACTGTAGGCTTCTATGATTGATTCTATGGGTAGGAAATACCCATCGATTAATAAACAGGGAGCGTAGATTTGAAGTGAAGGGTAGAAAAGTTGACAGGAAATCTTTTCACCAATGGTGGTGGAATTTGAAACTCACTGCTTGCAAATGTGGTTGAGCCAGAAGCTCTAGTAACACTCAGGTTTTGCTGGGAATTGGTTATCTCATTTGGCTGGACAGCTAATCCTTTTCTATAAATGTAAGATCACGCTGCTCATTTGAAAAATTAATTTGAACCTTATCGACAGAGCTTTACTCTGTATCAAACCCCATGTTGCATCCGTCCTGGGAGTGTTTAATGGTGACAGTTTAGAGGAGGCTTTACTTTCAGTTTAAAAGACTAGAGGGGTCTTTACTCTGTGTCTAACTTTGTGCTGTCTGTGTCCTTGGAGTATTCGATGGGGTCAGCATAGACACAGATTTAATCTGTATCCAACCCTGTGTTATACCTGTCCTGAGATTGTCGGATTGGGACAGCGTAGAGGCAGATTTACTCTGTATCTAATCCCGTGCTGTCCTTGTCCAGGAGTGTTTGATGAGAATGGTGTCAAGAGAAATTTACTTTCAGTTTATAAAATGTTGAGGGCTGTTTACTTTGTATCTAACCATGTGCGAAATGGTACTGATTGATGGGCATATTATCAAGGGATCTTAACTCTGTATCTGTATTGTCTGATGGGGACAATGTAGAGACAGATTTTATCTGTATCTAACACTGTGTTATACCCGTCCTGGGAGTATTTGATGGGGACAGTGTGGAGGGGAGCTTTACTTTCAGTTTAAAAGAGTAGAGGGAGTTTTACATTGTATCTAACTCTGTGCAGACCTGGGAGTGTTTGATGGGCTAGTTTATGTATAAGAGTTGTTTCTCTGTATAACTTTGCCTACATGTTGACCTGTCCTGGGAATTGTAAGGGCACAGTGTAAATGATATGTCTGGGATCAGTGTCTTCATGGGGAAGAGACAAAGTCTCAAATTTGAGGACTGAGAAAGAAAAAAAGAAACTGATCCTTATGATATTCTGGGTTAGTGTGAAAATGAGCACAACTTTAGCTAAGAGATCCAAAACGGGGGAGTCATACACGTTTGTTTCAAATTGTTTCAGCAAGATACAGAGTGTTATTACTCTGCGGTACACATCACAACCATTGGCCTTTCTGTTATACACTAATGAAAGGACTTGGGTTCACTGGGCATAACTGCAAAGTTTGCAGCTGGTATATAAATTGACAATGTAAAGACGGAAGCGAACTTAGCACTGACTAGAGGTCACAGGATGTATATTGCTAGTTGCATTTATATAACACTATACAATACAGAACAGGCCCTTTGGCCCATTCTGTCTGTACCACCAAAAATACATTACTGTCTGCACTAGTCCCACTTTTCTGCACTAGGCCCATAGCCTTGAATGTTGTAACATTTCAAATGCTCATCCAAGCACATTTTAAAGGTTTCCCACCTCAACTACCCTCCCAGACAGTGCATTCCAGACCCCAACCACTCTCTGGGTGAAAATGGTTTTCGTCAAAACCCCCTTAATTTCCTATCTCTCACTTTAGGATTATGGCCCCTTGTACTAAGGGGAACAGTTGCTGTCTATCCACCCTGTCCATGCCCCTCATAAACTTATGCACCTCTATCAGGTACACCCTCAGCCTTCTCTGCATCTCTCTTCATGGCCCAACTGGTTCAATCCCAGGAAAAGTCCTGGGGCATCTCCTCTGCACCGGCTCTGCGCAATCACATCCTATAGTGTGGGGAACAGAACTGCACACAGTACTCAAGCTATGGCATCACTAAAGTTCTGTACAGCTCCAACATGGCGTCCTCTTATACTTTATGTCATGACTGATAAATATGGTGTGGAGATGCCAGTGTTGGACTAGGGTAAGTAAAGTCAGAAGTCACGCCGCACGAGGTTATAGTTCAATAGATTTGCAGATGGAGTTTAATTTAGATAAATGTGAGGTGCTGCATTTTGGAAAGGCAAATCAGGGCAGGACTTATAAACTTAATGGTAAGGTCCTGGGCAATGTTGCCGAACAAAAAGACCTTGGAATGCAGGTTCGTAGTTCCTTGAAAGTGGAGTCGCAGCTGGGAGGATAGTGAAGAAGGTGTTTGGTATGCTTGCCTTTATTGGCCGGTGTGTTGAGTAAAGGAGTTGGCAGGTCATGTTGCGGCTGTACAGGACATTGGTTAGGCCACTTCTGGAATGCTGTGCGCAATTCCATTCTCCCTGTTATAGGAAGGATATTGTGAAACTTGAAAGGGTTCAGAAAAGATGTACAAGGATGTTGCCAGGGTTGAAGGATTTGAACTGTAGGGAGAGGATGAATAGATTGTGGCTATTTTCCCTGGAGTGTCGGCTGAGTGGTGACCTTATAGAGATTTATAAAATCATGAGGGTCATGGATAGGGTGAATAGTCAAGGTCTTTTCCCTCGGGTGGGGGAGTCAAAACCTAGACAGCAAAGGTTTAGGGTAAGAGGGGAATGATTTAAAAGGGACCTAAGGGGCAACTTTTTCACACACAGGGTGTTGCGCGTATGGAATAAGCTGCCAGAGGAAGTGGTGGAGATGGATACAATTACAACATTTGAAAGGCATCTGGATGGGTACATGAATAGGAAGGGTTTAGAGGGATATGGGCCAAATGCTGGCAAATGGGACTCGATCCATTTAGGATATCTGGTCGGCGTGGACGAGTTGGACTGAAGGGTCTGTTTCTATGCTGTACAGCTCTATGACTCTATGACTGTCTAAGATCACAAGCTTTCAGAGCGCTTCTCCTTCATCAGGTGAAGTGATGAAGGGGCAGTGCATTGAAAGCTTGTGATTTAAAATTAACCTGTGGGGCTATAACCTGGTGTCGTGTTACTTACGACTGATAAAGGCAAGTGCCCTGCATGTGTTCTTCATGACCTTATTAATCTGTCCTGCCAAATTTAGGGGTCTTTGACCAAGTACCCCAAGATCCGTCTGTCTTAAAGAATTTGTATACACACTCCTCGGTATCATTCAGTGCCTATTCATAGTGGGATCCTATTTTCGAGATTCAACTTCATGAGAGAATCTTATCTGCAGAACCATTGCATGTAGAATTTTCAAAACAACCTGTTCAGCGATTAGAACATAGGAGGATAGGAACATGTGTACGTCATTCAGACCCTCAAACCTGTTCCAACATTCAATTGGATCGGGGCATATCTGTGGCCTAACTCCATATACCAGCCTTTGGTCCATCTCCCTTAATACTTTTGCTTAACACAAAATTTATCTCTGTCAGATTTCAAATTAGCAACTGATCCAGCATCCACTGCAGTCTGTGGAAGACACACATTCCAAACGTTTACCAACCTTCGTGTGTACACATGCTTCCTAACATCTCTCCTAATGGTCTGACCCTAATTCTCAGACTATGCTTCCCCATCCTAGAATCCCCAACCGGTGGAAATAGTTGATTGATCCTGTCTTTTCCTGTTGATATCTTGAAGACTTCAATCAGATTGCCCTTAAACTTCTAAATTCTACAGAAAACAGGCACAATCTGTGTAATTGCTCCTCATAAAGTAACCCCTGAAGTCCAGTATCATCCTTGTAAACCCACGCAATACTCCCTCCAAGGCCAATATAGTCTTCCTAAGGTGTGGTATCCAGACCTGCTCGCTGTTCTCCAAGATTCTCTAACCAGGATTTTGTATGACTGCAGCATAATGTCTGCATCTCCATATTCCAGTCTTCTCGGTGTAAAGGCCAGCATTCTATTGGGCACCTTGATCATTTTCAACTGGAGAAAAATGTACCTGAAACTCCACATCTAGTTGGACATCCATTGTATTTGACTTCATATCATTAGACAATACACTGATCCATATTATTACTCTCCTCTGGAGCATGTGAGTCTTGAACCTGGGACTCCTGTTTCAGAGGTAAGGACAATACTACTCCACCACAAGAGCCCTTCACTACCATTATCTTGTTTTCTTCAACTACTGTTTATCTCAGTTCTTCTACTCTGTCCCCATTGCCGTACATTCTCTTTGTTACCTTTAAATTGCACACCTTGTTGAAATGAACTACGACCTGTTTCTAACACCAGCTTTGGAATTAGCTCAGGTTTGTTTTGTTGGGTGGGGAGTGTGTGGTGGGAGAGTTGAAGTGGGGGAGGAGGGGATGGTGGCCTTGAGGTAACGATGGACTGATAAAATATTTGCATAATTCCATGTTGTTTCCAGTCACGTTGCGGCTGACCTTTGATCAGGGTGCTCCTGAGAGTCGAAACACAATCCAAAAAGGGCGGAGTAAGGGAAAGCATATCAGTGCAACAGAGAAACAATTGAAACTCAGCAAACATAAGCCAGTGAGACTCGGAAAGGATTGATGCGAGGAAAGAATGGAGATAGATTTGCCTTCTTTGTATTAATTCTGTGAGGCAACATTGGTAAGGATGTGGTCATGGATTGCTCGTGAAACTCCGGGGATCTGTTGCTTGGTTCTTGTCAGCTTTTTGTTTCTTTTGAAAAGCCTGAAATTGTGAGGCGGCTGTACTGTACCAACTAGTTCTACGTTGGAATCTGTCACTTGGTTTGATGTGTCGATATTTGACCACAAACAAGGTCAGAACACAGTCAAACCCCCAAAACTGAAATTGCTGAAGAAATTCAGCAGGTTTGGCGGCATTTGTTAAAATAGAGAGGGAAACCAAGTTAATGTTTTGGGTCTCCCGAGTTCTGAGCTTCTCTCTCGACAGAGGATGGATAAGCTCGAGTTGTTTTCTTTACAGAAGTTGAGGGGGAACCTGATAGATGTGTATAATGTTATGAGGGACATGGACAGTGTGAATAGAAAGCAGCTATTCCTTGGAGATAGAATAGTACTGTTCGGAAGAGGCCATTTGGCCCATCGATTCAGTACCATTACAAAGCTACACTAAATTTGCACTAGCCCCATTTTCAGAACAAATGGGGGTGTAATTTTAAAGTGAAAGGCAAGGCATTTAGATGGAATTTGAGGAATTCTGTTTTCCACCCAGAGAGTGGTAGTGGTCTGGAATACGCAGACTGGGAGGATAGGTGATGTGGGAAAAATTCACAAACTTTAAAAAGTCCTTGAATGAGCATGTAACATTGTGTGTTACATGAGTGGCATTTTTTTTTTTACTCAGAGAGTGGTTAATGCGTTCTAGAGGAAGTGATGAATTCAGGTACAGTTACAACATTTAAAAGATATTTGGCTAACTATGTGTGTTAGAATGTGGGATTAGTGCAGTTTTAGAGTTGTTTTTATTTTGCTGGTACAGACTTGATGGGCCGAAGGGCCTGTACTGTGCTGTATGATTCCAGATGCTGCCAGACCTGCTGAGTTTCTTGAGCACTTCCTGGCTTTTGCTTTAGATGTCATAGGATTCTACAATGTGGAAAAAGGCCATTCAGCCCATTGAATCTGCACTGACTGTCTGAAGAGTAGGAGGATAGATTTAAGATAAAGGCAGAAGGTCAGAAGGAATGTCAGGAAAATATTTTCACCCAGAAGGTGATGGAAATCTGGAACTCACTGCCTGTAAGGGTGATAGAGGCCGAGATCCTCATAACATTGAAGAAGTATTTAGATGTGCACTTGAGATGGCGAGGCTATGGGCCAAGTGCTGGGAAATGGGTTAGAATAGTTAGCTGGTTAAGGAGTTATAGAATCATACAGCATGGAATCATACAGACCCTTGGTCCAATTAGTCCACGTCAACCATGTTCCCAAACTAAACTAGTCCCCCCACCTGCTCCTGGCCCATATCCCTCCAAACCTTTCCTGTTCATGTACTTATCCAAATGTCTTTTAACCATTGTAACTGTATCTGTATTCACCACTTCCTCTAGCAGTTCATTCCACACATGAACCACTCTCTGAGTAAAAAAAAAATGCCACTCATGTCCTTTCTAAATTTTCTCCTCTCACTTTAAAAATATGCCTTCAATTTTCGAACTCCCCCACCCTAGGGAAAAGACCTTTGCTATTCATCATATGTATGCCTTCAAGGTCACCCCTCAACCTCCTATGCTCCAGTGAAAAAAAAAAGTTCCAGTCTACCCAGGCCCTCCTTATCACTCAAACCTTCCATTCCTGGCAACATCCTGGTAGGTCTTTTCTGAATCCTCTCCAGCTTAATAATATCCTTAATAAAACAGAACGACCAACACTGTACACAGTACTCCAAAAACAGCCTCATGAACGTCTTGTACAACTGCAACATGATGTCCTAACTCCTATACTCAAAGGTCTGAGCAATGAAGGCAAGCGTGCTAAATGCTTTTTTAATCACCGTTTCTAACTGTGATGCAAATTTCAAGGAATTATGTGCCTGAGCCGCTAGGTCTTGCTGGTCTATAACACTACCCAGAACCATACCATTAACTGTATAAGTCCTGCCCTTATTTGTTTGACCAAAATGCAATACCAGTGCAGAGTTGATGGGCTGAAGGGCCTTTTCCTGCACTGTAGATCTGCACGACTTGAAGGGATTTGGGAGTCCTCATTCATGAATCATTAAAAAAAAAGTTAACATCCATGTTCAGCAATTAACAGGGAAGGTAAATGAAAATTTAGTCTTTATTTCAACAGGAATAGAGTATAAAAATGGGGAGGTCATGCTAAAGATACTCGTCAGACCACAGCTGTAATAATGTAAATAGTTCTGGGCCCCATATCTCAGGAAATATATGTTGCAGTTGGAGGCAATCCAGAGAAGGTTTACTTGGCTGACACCAGGAAGGGAGGGATTATCTTATGAGGAGAGGTAGAGTAGACCTGTACTTGATGGAATATAGAAGAATTAGGCATGAACCTATTGAAACATCGAAAAGGCTTAGAGGACTTGACAGCATAGATGCGGAAAGGACTTTTCCCCCTGTGGGAGAATCTAGGACCAGAGGAAATATTCTGAGAATAACAGGTCACACATTTGAGACGGAGTTAAGGGGAATTTTATTTTCTGAGGATGGTGAATCTTTACCACAGACGGCTGTTAAGGCTAAGTCATTAAGTATATTCAAGGCTGATATAGACAGATTTTTAACCAGTAAGGGAATGAAGGGTTATGGGGAAAAGGCAGCAAAGTGCAGTTTAAGGATTATGAAGTCAGACATGATCACATTGAATGCAGAGCAGACTCGATGGGCTGAATGGCTTACTTCTGCTTCAACGTCTTATGGTCTTACGTTATTTGTTAAAATAACCACTGTGATGAGGAGCTCATATTCTGCCGATTCTGGTGAAAAACGAACTTGCTTTCAGATCAAAGATGTTGAAGACTCAAGGATGCTTTCCGTCAGTTTTCTGTTGATTGAAAATGAAGTGGTTGGTCAAGAATTGGGGCAGTTTTCCACATTTTCAGGTAAATTCCATTGTTGTAACTGTACAGGAACAGTTTGACTAAGGTCAGGACTAGTTCTCGCGAGTTAGTCTTCAGTAATATTGCCAAAATATCTTAAGGAACATTATATTGCCTTCAGTCATTTCCTGATATCATGTGGAACGAATCAAATTGGCTCAAGGTTGGACTTGTTATGCACCAGACCAGACCCGGACCCAAGCTATTGTAAGTAGATAGCCAAGACTCTGACTTTTATATTTATTTAAAGGCAAGTTGCTGTGTTCCTGATGTGATTTGATTGAGCAAACATTAATCAAAACTCACTTTATTTTTACAACAGTTAAATATAAAAGAAAAGAGAATTTGCATAACTTCATTGAAATACTGAACAAGATAATGTATTATTTAACTACTGCCATCAACTGTTCCAATATCGGCAGCATCCCATAAACGCATCCTTTAGAAAAAGTGCAATTCAGCAAACAGTTATGGTTCTCAGGTGCTGTCTCTCCAGAGAAGAGAAGCAACCTGCCCCTTTTGATTTTTAAGAGGAAGTGTTGCTGTCTAGCTGCTAGGAACTCCAGCTTTTAGCTCCGCAGCGAGCAGAAATCTTCTCATGAACTGAAAGCAAAATTGAAATCCTTCCTGGGTCTGTGTGAGTCCTGACCCCTCCCACTCATGATTCTAAAAACAGGCAGGGAGAACTCATAAGCTGTTTACCAACTAGCTGTCTGAAGGAGACATTTCATTACCACTGCTCCACAAGAGAAACAGGACAGAACGTTGTGTTTCTTAAAGACACAGTACCGTCACAGTATCTGTAATGTTATTGACATCAAAAGGAAGACTGATATGATCATCCATGTATTACTTCATGTTGAAGATGGCTCCAAGTTCTTCAGTCGTGTCTTCTGCAAAGATGCATTAGACTCCCCGACCTATCCCCAGTTTTGAGCATGTGATATTGTGGAACATCCACCCTCCAAGAATTTTAAATTATCCACCACCATTCACCACAGTTTGTTGAGGAATCACTTTGCCCTGTCAATGCTACTTGGCATGCAAGCCACTCTGTGTTCTGGCATTACCAGACTGACATGTTTTTAGGTATGCCTGGCGCTGCTCCTAGCAAGCCCTCCTGTGCTCTCTATTAAACCAGGGTTCATCCCCTGGCTTGATGGTAATGGTTGAGAAAAGGTTATAACAGGCCATGAGGTTACAATTCTTCTGCTGTCAATGGTCAGCAGTACCTCATGGATGCCCAGTGTTAAGTTGCTAGATCTGTTCGAGTCTGACCAATTTAGCACAGTGATAGTGCCACACAACATGATGGAGATTATTCTTAATGTGAAGGTGGGACTTCATCTCCACATGGACAGTGCTGTGGTCACTCTTACTGATCCTGTCATTGACAGATGCATCTGCAGCTAGCAGATTGGTAAGGATGAGGGCAAGTGTGTTTTTCCCTCTTGTTGGTTCCCTCACCATCTGCTGCAGACCCAGTCTAGCAGCTATGTCCTTTAGCACCCAACTAACTCGAACTGTAGTGCAGCTGTCAAGCCGATCTTTATGAGAGACTTTGAAATGCCCCACACAAGAAGTGCCCTTCTGTGCCATTATCATTCTTGGTGCTTCTTCCAAGTTGTTCTCAACATCAGTTGGGGTGTGGAGTGATGGTAGGAGGGAGGCATGTGCTCGATAGTAATCAGAAGGATATTAACTCTCCAATGTTAGCCCTGATGACAGGACAGTTCATGGGGTCCATAGTCAATACTGAAGACTCTTATTCCAACTCCCTCCTGACTGTGTACTGCTGTATTGCTCCCCCACCCAAACCGGTGTGTCTGCCTTGCTCATGGGGCAGACATACCCTCAGATGGCAGTCATGGGGATGAAGGGATGAGTCCATGAGTTCGACTGTGTCAGGTTGTTGCTTCAGTCGCCCCGTGGGACAATGCTCCTAAATTTGGCCGGGTGTTAGCCAGGAGGATTTTGCATGCTGTACGAGGTATTGTGTCCTGCTGTCACTCCTGGTGCCTTGGTCAATCATTGGTGCGCTATCCAGTTTCATTCCTTTTATCAGACATTGCAACAATGGAGTGCCTTGCCTGGCTACCTTCAAAAGCAGGTGAGGCTCAACACGTGTAGATTGAGATCATTCGATATTGGCAGAATTTCCTTCCCAAATGACCCTGAGAACATCAGATGGAGGTTTATGACAATCAGTAATGGTTTGTGATGATTGTTGGGCTCTCTAGGAATTTATTCATTGAGCTCAAAATTGACCGTCTGCTTTGGTAGGATTCCGCTCCATGGCTGCAGAGCATCACTTTAACTCTCTAGATTACTTAACCATTGACATTCCCTGATTGTCAGCAATTCTGTCAAGGAGAAATGTCTCACTTCATTATTTTAAACACCTCCAACCAATCCCTCCTCAAACTTCTCGTCTTTGAGCAGAAGGATCTGAATATTTCCGGTTGACCCGGAGTTGAAAACTCTGGAATTATTCTCGAGTCTTTTTCCATCCCCCTGCCTTCTGCTCCAATCAGGTTTCATATTTTCGCATTTGTTCAGTCAGTAGAGATATTGTTCCATTCTCAAAAGGGGTTCACATTCTCAACTTCTTCCTGCAGTTTCACTTTTCTCAAATTATTCCATAAACAGAAGAAGGGGTGTGGGGGCAGGGGAGGGGTTTTTGGGTGGAGGTGGAGTAAGAATGTTTGGAAAATAAAGCCTTTCTTTTGTAAATTCTCCCCACATAGGAAATGAACTTGATTGGAAATGGAATTTCTTCAGGAGGAACAAGGGGTTAAAAAACAAAGAACGCTGTCCACAGTGGTGCAGTTATTTTACAGAACACTTCTCTGTAATTGGGGAGACTTGAGTTCCGACCTCCTGCCTCAGAGGTGGGGACATTACCGCCACACCATAGAAGGCCTTAAAGTGAAGTTACTACTGAGCGGAATTTGGCGTTAGATGACCTGTAATGGAAATTTGGAATGGGAACTTATGAGCTGTTCTGGTGATGGACTGAATTCACCAGGAGAAACAGAAACGACCGGAGTAAGCAACGTCATAACAAGGACTAGAGCTTGGATGTCAAATGAGGCAAGCGAAAGAATAGCCAATATGAAAGAAGTCAATAAATCAGACTTTATACACAACACTGATGAAGTCGAACAGACAGAGCAGTTGGCCACTGGAACTGAAACAGACTTTGGTTGTTTTCAGCAATTGTTAAGTTACCTCTGTTGTGAATACCGGAGTGTGGATTTGAAAGAAAATCAGGCAATTGTAGCAGTTGAAAACTACTCGTCCCACTACTGTCTCTCCAACCCCACATTCACTCCTCCCTCACATGATTCCAGTTCTGAGGATCATCATACACCAAGGGCAGCCTTCCCAACAATGCCGGATATGACAGGTTTGAAAGATATGGAGCTGCAGGATGTCAAGCAGGATCAGGCATCAGCTGTACAAGGAAGCACAGGTCAATGATGTGACACTTTATGGAGATTCCTTTTTTTTTAACTATTCATTCACGGGTTGAGGGCATCGCTGACCAGGAGCATTTATTTCCCTTGCCCATCCTAATTGCCCAGAGGGCAGATCAGAATCAACCATATTTCTGTGGGCCTGGAGTCACATGTAGGCCAGAGCAGTTAAGAATGGCAGTTTCCTTCCTTAAAGGACATTAGTGAACCAGATGGGTTTTCCCCAACAATCAGCAATGGGTTATTGATCATTATTAGATTCCTAATTCCAGATTTTTTAAAAAATGAGCTCAAATTCCAATATCTGCTGTGGCGGGATTCAAATCCAGGTCCCTGGAACTGTATCTGGGTCTCTGGATGAACAATCCAGCGATAATACCACTAGGCCATTGCCTCCCCAATTCTATGGTTTAAGACCATTAGAGGCTGTTTAGACCTGCGATTCTGCTCTGCTTTCTGATAGGAGCATGGCTGATCCGCCATTCTTCAAAGTAACTTTCCTGCTCTTTCCCTGAAACCTTTGACTCCCTGCCTGACTGAGATTCTGAGGCCACTTTTAGAAGACTGCATACAATTCTGATTGCCATTCTATAGAACATAGAACATAGAACATAGAACATTACAGCGCAGTACAGGCCCTTCGGCCCTCGATGTTGCGCCGACCTGTGAAACCAATCTGAAGCCCATCTAACCTAAACTATTCCATTATCATCCATATGTTTATCCAATGACCATTTAAATGCCCTTAAAGTGGGCGAGTCTACTATTTTTGCAGGCAGGGCATTCCATGCCCTTACTACTCTCTGAGTAAAGAACCTACCTCTGACATCTGTCCTATATCTATCACCCCTCAATTTAAAGCTATGTCCCCTTGTGCTAGCTATCACCATCCGAGGAAAAAGGCTCCCACTGTCCACCCTATCTAATCCTCTGATCATCTTGTATGTCTCTATCAAGTCACCTCTTAACCTTCTTCTCTCTAACAAAAACAGCCTCAAGACCCTCAGCCTTTCCTCATAAGACCTTCCCTCCATACCAGGCAACATCCTGGTAAATCTCCTCTGCACCCTTTCCAATGCTTCCACATCCTTCCTATAATGCGGTGACCAGAACTGTACGCAATACTCCAAGTGCGGCCGCACCAGAGTTTTGCACAGCTGCAACATGACCTCATGGCTCCGAAACTCAATCCCTCTACCAATAAAACCTAACATACTGTATGCCTTCTTAACAACGCTATCAACCTGGGTGGCAACTTTCAGTGATCTATGCACATGGACACCGAGATCTTTCTGCTCATCCACACTACCAAGAATCTTACCATTAGCCCAGTACTCTCTATTCCTGTTACTCCTTCCAAAGTGAATCACCTCACACTTTTCCGCATTAAACTCCATTTGCCACCTCTCAGCCCAGCTTTGCAGCTTATCTATGTCCCTCTGTAACCTGCAACATCCTTCTGCACTATCCACAACTCCACCGACTTTGGTGTCATCCGCAAATTTACTAACCCATCCTTCTACGCCCTCATCCAGGTCATTTATAAAAATGACAAACAGCAGTGGCCCCAAAACAGATCCTTGAGGTACACCACGAGGAACTGAACTCCAGGATGAACATTTCTCATCAACCACCACCCTCTGTCTTCTTACAGCTAGCCAATTTCTGATCCAAACCGCTAAATCACCCTCAATCCCATGCCTCTGTATTTTCTGCAATAGCCTACCATGGGGAACCTTATCAAACGCTTTACTGAAATCCAAATACACCACATGACCGTCCCCAATTTTACTCTACTCATTCTTTTATTCCTGACATACCTATAGAAAGCTTTAGGGTTTTACTTGATCCTACCTGCTAAAGACTTCTCATGTCCCCTCCTGGCTCTTCTTAGCTCTCTCTTTAGGTCCTTCCTGGCTAACTTGTAACTCTCAAGTGCCCTCACTGAGCCTTCACGCCTCATCTCGACATAAGCCTCCTTCTTCCTTTTGACAAGAGATTCAACTTCTTTAGTAAACCATGTTTCCCTCGCTCGACCACTTCCTCCCTGCCTGACAGGTACATACTTCTCAAGGACACACAGTAGCTGTTCCTTGAACAAGCTCTACATTTCGATTGTGCCCAGCCCCTGCAGTTTCCTTCTCCATCCTATGCATCCTAAATCTTGCCTCATTGCCTCATAATTGCCTTTCCCCCAGCTATAACTCTTGCCCTGCATTATATACTGATCCCTTTCCATTGCTAAAGTAAACGTAACGGAATTGTGGTCACTACCACCAAAGTGCTCACCTACCTCCAAATCTAACACCTGGCCTGGTTCATTACCCAGTACCAAATCCAATGTGGCCTCGCCTCTTGTTGGCCTATCTACATACTGTGTCAGGAAACCCTCCTGCACACATTGGACAAAATCTGACCCATCTGAAGTACTCGAACTATAGCGTTTCCAGTCAATATTTGGAAAGTTAAAGTCCCCCATAACAACTACCCTGTTACTTTCGCTCCTATCCAGAATCATCTTTGTAATCTTTTCCTCTACATCTCTGGAACTTTTTGGAGGCCTATAGAAAACTCCCAACAGGGTGACCTCTCCTTTCCTGGTTCTAACCTCAGCCCATACTACCTCAGTAGACGAGTTGTCATCAAATGTCCTTTCTGCCACCTTAATACTGTCCTTGACTAACAATGCCACACCTCCCCCTCTTTTACCACCTTCCCTGATCTTACTGAAACATCTAAACCCCGGAACCTGCAACAACCATTCCTGTCCCTGCTCTATCCATGTCTCCGAAATGGCCACAACATCGAAGTCCCAGGTACCAACCCATGCTGCAAGTTCACCCACCTTATTCCGGATGCTCCTGGCATTGAAGTAGACACACTTCAAACCACCTTCCTGCCTGCCAGTACACTCCTGCGACCTTGAAACCTTATTTATGACCTCACTACTCTCAACCTCCTGTACACTGGAGCTACAATTCAGGTTCCCACCCCCCTGTTGAATTAATTTAAACCCTCCCGAAGAGCATTAGCAAATTTCCCCCCCAGGATATTGGTACCCCTCTGGTTCAGGTGTAGACAATCCCATTTGTAGAGGTCCCACCTACCCCAGAATGAGCCCCAATTATCCAGGTATCTGAAAGGATATATGGAAAGGATTTTTTTTTCATAGAATCGCTACAGTGTAGAGAAACAGGCCCTTCGGCCCAATAAGTCTACGCTGACCCTCAGAGCATCCAACCCAGACCTGTCCCTCTATAACCCACCGAACCTTAACATCCTTGAACACCACGGGCAATTTAGCATGGTAAATCCACGTTGTCTGCACATCTTTGTATTGTGGGAGGAAACTGGAGCACCTGAAGGAAACCTATGTAGACACGGGGAGAATGTGTGAACTCCACACAGACAGTTGCCCAAGGGAGGAATCGACCCCAGGTCCCTGGCGCTGTGAGGCAGCAGTGCTAACCACTGTGCCACCCGAAAAACTTGCAAAGTTGTTAAACTTGAGAAGGTGCAGAAAAGATTTGCAAGGATGTGGTCTGGACTGGAGGATTTGAGCTAGAGGGAGAGGCTGGGCAGGCTGGAAATTTTTCTCCTTTACTCAGAGGTGTTTCTTGGAACCTTTATGGAGGTTTATAAAATATTGAGGGGCATGGATAGGGTGATTAGCCAAGGTCTTTTTCTTAGGGTGGGAGAATTCAAAACCAGTGGGCATAGATTTAAGATGAGAGGGGAAAGATTTAAAAAAGGACCCAGAGGGTGGTACATGTATTGAACTAACTGCCAGAGGAAGTGGTGGAGACTGGTACAATTACAAAATTCAAAAGGCATCTGGATGGATATATGAATGGGAAGAATTTAGAGAGAAATGGGGCAAATGCTGACAAATGGAACTGGGTTAGATTGGGAGGTATGGTCCATGCGGATGGGTTGGACCAAAGGCTCTATTTCCATGCTCTGTGACTCTGACTCTGTCTCAGCCTTTAACATACACAAGGGCTCAGCCCCCTCCAACTCTCTGTGGCAAGGAGTTCCAAAGACTCACAGCCCTCTGAGGGAAGAAATTCCCCCTCATCTCATTCTTAAATTGGTGCCCCCTAATTCTGAGACTATGTCGTCTGAACTCCAATTGCCACTGTATAAATTGGCTTCCTTATTAATTCCTTAATAATTCATTAAGACGTTGGAATGCTGCTGGAAGTTCGCAATGTCCTTCCTCAACTTTGGCAGTCAGTGTCCAAGCCAAACTGTAGAGGTAAATGGGTGGCACTGAATTGATGCTCAATTTTTTTTTCATACAGGCCAACTTTAGTTGGTGTTGAGTTCCCGGGCAGTAGAATTGCAACAGCACAGGAGTCCATTCAGCCCATCATGTCTGTTGCAGCTTTCCAATGAGCATCATGACTTATTGCTAGGTGCTAAGTGATGCATTTTGGTAAGACACAACAGGGCAGGACTCACACAGTTAATGTTAGGGCACTGTGGAGTGTTGTCCAGCAGAGACACCTAGGATTGCAGCTGCATAGTTTCTTGAAAGTAATGCCACAGGTGGACAGAGGTGGTGAATAATTTGTTTGGCACACTTGCCTTCATTGGTCAAAGCATGAGTATAGAAGTTGGGACATCATGTTGCTGCTGTACACTTTTGGTGAGGTCACTTTTGGAGTACTGTGTACAGTTCTGGTTGTCCTGTTATGGGAAGGATGTAGTCAAACCAGGAATGGACCAGAAAAAGATTTACGAGGGTGTTACCAGGACTGGAGGGTTTGAGTTATAAGAAGAGGCTGAATAGGCTGGGGCCTTTTTGCCTGGAGTGTAGGTGGTTAAGAGGTGACCTTTTGGAGGTTTATAAAATCATGAAGGACATGGATAAGGCAAATACTCAAGGTCTTTTCTCCAGGGTAGGGAAGTCCAAAAGTAGAGGACACGTGTTTAAGGTGAGTGGGGAAAGATATAATAAGGCCTTGAGGAGCAACTTTTTCAGACAGAGAGTGGGGTGTATATGGAATGAGCTGCTAGAGGAAGTGGTAGAGGCGGATACAATTACGACTTTTAAAATACATTTGGACAGGGAATGGAAAGGTTTGGAGGGATATGGGCCAAATACAGGCAAATGGGAGTTGTTACATTTGGAAAATCTGGTTGGCATGGACGAATTGGACCGAAGGGTCTGTTTCGGTGCTGTATGACTCTATGACTCTGTATCCTCTTGTCCCTTTCCATGATATTAATGTAAGTGGTGAAAGGTCCTGTGGGAACTCCACCTCCACACCTTGCCTCCAAGACAGTGTTCCTTCTTCATTTTATTTCTGTAATCAACTTTGCTTTCTCCTGAGCTGCATTTCTTTCTAACGTTTAATCGAATACCTTGCAATGACTCAAGACCTTCTGAGACACGAGATTCTTCCTCATCTCGATCTTAAATAGGCACCCCTTTATTCTGAGACTATGCCCTCTGCTCCTAGACTGTTCCATGAGGGGAAACATCCTCTCGGCATCTATCACTTGCTGTTTAAAGATATATCATTTCAGTTGCATTTGTTTTATTCATCCCATTCATGCAAGCTATTTCCATCAGTTTGATACCGACTCTGCTTCAAATTGTTCAGGGTTAATCAATAATTCAAATGGATTGTTTTGTTTTAGGGCTATGTTCTTATTTTGTTCCACATCAAATAGCTATTCAATGCTTCTCTCTCTCTATCTGTGTGTTTATCGACTAACAGTTAGCCTTGTTTCCTGTGGTTAATTCAATTATCGTACTTTATAAACTCCCATAATTAAGTTTGAAACTCATTCCTAAGAATATCTCCTTTCATATTCTGATTCAAAGTCAAATTGAATCATATCCACATTGTTTATTCCAAGAGGTCACCTAAGTGTAAAATTTACAAGTTCTGTTTAGTTTGTTTCCTCTGATCTTTAACTGCTCTGCCCCAGAAACTGGACCTGACTTTGTTCTGTAAATTTGTTGCTACTGGCCTAACAGTTCTGCCTATGTGTATCTGAAGGAATCTCATTTGACACCTAGCATTGAAATCAACATGACACTGTGATTTAGGAACTTATACATGACACAGAAAAATTGGAGACTAATTAGTTTGTTATTTAAACAGAAAAAAAGTCATCTGATAACATATCTGTTTATGTGACATGCATGTACTTATTTCTTATCAAATGGCTGTTTGAACAATTTTATGAGTGTCCCAGATTTAGGCACGTGATCCCATTAAGGGCTCTAATTTTAAAGAGCTGATATATGAACAATTTCCTGTACTTACAAAGGGATCTTTCATATTGTTCTGCGTTGTGTTCTGACTTGTGTAGAGATAGACTTTTTGAGCAGAGAACTATCCGAATCACTAACAACATAGTCCTAACAGATCTCTGGGCTGCTTTCATTGGAGAGAGGGGTGACTGTCACCATGCCTTTGACAAGGGGTGAGGTTGAGAATTTAGGGCCCATCATGGTAACCTCAGCTAGTGCAGGAATTGAACCCATACTGTTGGTGTCACTCTGCAGCACGAACTAGCAATGCAAGCTAACTGAAGCCCTGTAGTAATCACATCTCTTACAATACCAGAAACATAAGTAATAAAATTGCAAAGCGTGTAGTCAGGTGGCTCAGTGGTTAGTACGACTGCCTTGCAAAACTAGGGACCCGGGTTTGATTCCAACCTCGGGTGACTGTCTGTGTGGAGTTTGCACCTTTTCCCTGTGCCTGCGAGGGTCTCTGGGAGCTCCAGTTTCCTCCCACAGTTCAGAGATGTGCAGGTTAGGTGAATTGGCTGTGCTAAACTTCCCACAGCAGGCAAGCAAGGACATATAGTAATGGGAAGTACATGGTATGAGGTGGGTCTGGATGGGATGCTCTGCAGTAGGTTGGTGTGCACATGATGGGCTGAATGGCCTGTTTGCACATTGTAGGGATCATATAACAATATTTAATCTGCCACATTCTCCAACAGTGGTAGCTGTTTAAACTTCCCCACACATTGTATGCAATGAGGAAAGGGCAGCACGGTGGCTCAGTAGTTAGCACTGCTGCCTCACAGCACCAGGGACCCGGGTTTGATTCCACCCTTGGGTGACTGCCTGTGTAGAGTTTGCATGTTCTCTGTGTGGGTTTCCTCCCACAGTCCAAGGATGTGCAGTTCAAGTGGATTGGCCATGCTAAATTGCCCACAGTGTTCAGGGATGTGTAGATAAGGTGGGTTACAGAGGGATGTGTCTGGGTGGGATGCTCTGTGATTCGGTGTAGACTTGTTGGGCCGAAGGGCCTGTTTCCACACTGTAGGGATTCTATGAGGAGGTGATGGCCTAGTGGTACTATAGAGTCACAGTCATACAACATGGAAAGAGACCTTTCAGTCCAACTAGTTCCCCATGCCTGCTTCTAGCCCATATCTGTCCAAATATTTCCTATTCATGTATCTATCCAAATGTCTCTTAAACATTGCAATTGTACCTGCATCCACCACTTCCTCAGGAAGCTCATTCCACACATTCTGTGTAAAAAACAATTGCCGCTCATATCTTTTTATAGATCTCTCTCGTCTCATCTTAAAACTATGTCCCCTAGTCATGAAATCTCCCATATCAGGGAAAAGACAACTACCGTTAACTCTATCTGTACTTCTCATTGTTGTATAAATTTCTGTAAGGTCACCTTTCAACCTCTTATGCTCCAGAGAGAATAGTACCAGCCGATCCAACCTTTCTGCACAACTCAAACATTCCATTCCCAGCAACATCCTTGTAAACCTCTTCTGAACCTTCTCCAGCTTGATAATATCCTTCCCATAATTGGACGACCATAACTGGACGCAGTTTTCCAGAAGAGGCCTCACCATTATTCAACATAACTTCCCAATTCCTACACTCAAAGGACTGAGCAATGAAGGCATGTGTGCCAAATGCCTTTTTAACCACCCTGTCTATATGTGATGCAAACTTCAAAGAATTATGTACCTGCATCTTTTGGCCCTTCTGTACTAAAATACTACCTAAGGGCCTACCATTAATTGTATATCTCTACCCGTGTTTGCTGTATCAAAACACATTGCCTTGCAATTATCCAGATTGAACTCCATCTGCCGTTTTTTAGCCTATTAACCCCTTGATCAAGGTCCCTTTGTAATCTTAGAAAACCTTTTCCACTGTGCCACCAATTTTGGTGTCTTCCGCAAACTTACTAATTATACCTTCCATATTGTCATCCAAATCATTTATATAAATGACAAACAAAAGATAACCCAGAACTGATCCCTGTGGAACACCCCTGGTGACAGGCCTCCAGTCTGAAAAGCAACCCTCCACTATTACCCTCTGACTCCTACCATTAAGCCAATTATGTATCCAATTGGCAAGTTCGTCATGAATTCCATGTGACCTAACTTTACTGATTAGCCTGCGATACGGAACCTTGTCAAAGGCTTTACTAAAATCCAAATAAACAACATCCTTAGCACTGCCCTCATCAATCTTTTTGGTAACTTCCTCAAGAAACTCAATCAAGTTTGTGAGACACGATTTTCCTTGCACAAAACCATGCTGATTATACCTAATCAAGTTTTGCCTCTCTAAATATCCATAAATCTTATCTTTTATAGTGACCTCCAACAATTTACCCACAACTGAAGGCAGACTCAGTTTTACAGTTCCCCAGTTTCTCCTGATAATCTTTCTCAAGCAAAAGTGCAACATTAGCTACCCTCTAGTCATCAGGCACCTCACCTGTAGTTACAGATGATGCCTTATCGCTGGACTATTTGTCTAGAGACCCAGACACAGTTTGACGACCCAATTTGTCATCCAACTATGGTGGAACTTGAATTCAATTTTAAAAAGAAAAATCTGGGATTAAAAATTTAATGACCATGAATCCATTGTTGATTGTTGGCAAAAATCCCTCGGGTTCACTAATGTCCCTTAAGAAAAGAAGCTGCTATCGTCATCTCATCTGGCCTACATTTGACTCCAGAGCCACAGCAATATTATTTCTTTCTTAACTACCCTCTGGAATGGGCAATAAATGCTGGTCTAACCATCCTGTGAATGAATAGAGGCAAAAAAAAAGATAAATAGCACATTTGACGGTGATGGAAAAGTCATTTCCCAACTTGACTTATGGTTATTTTTAAAGTTTTGTTTGTTTCCCCAAGCTGACTCTTGCAAGTGAGCACATGCAACATGGATCTGTGTTCAGTAGGAGCAGGTGCATATGACATTCCCGCTTGAATGGCCTGTACTGTTACCATGTCCCATCTCAGAAACATCATCCAGTCTTCAAAGCAAAACCAGTAACCTCTCATTGTTCATTTGCCTTATCAAGACATCATTTCAGAAATAAACGTAACTGAGAGCATTAACTAGAAAAATCTATCATTACAAAGCCTGTTACTAACAGCTAGTGTATGACTTTTCTTAGGAGGCGCTCAAATACTGCAGGCGAAGCAAAGTGGGGAAGAGCTCAATCATTCAAAAGGTAAGCAAGTTTTTCAATCCTCAATCTAACATCCATCTCCTTCACAAATTTTAATGAACTGTTTCAGAAGAATGCATTTCAGCCTGTCTGCAAAATTAACAAATGTGAGAAAATAGAAATTCCAACTCATTTCTATTCTATACGTGGATGAAGTTTGTAAATTACTCATTCGTGGGATGTGGGCATTGCTGGTTAGGTCAGCAATTATTGCCCATCATAACAGGGTCAATAACATTGCTCAGGGCCTGGAGTCACATCTAGGCCAGATCACGTAAGGATTGCAGTTTCTTTCCCTAAAGGACATAAGTGAACCAGTTGTTTTTTTCCCTGATAATTGACAATGGTTTGCAGATTTTTATTGAATTCAAATTCGACCATTTTGAGTGGTGAGATTTGAACCCCGAACCTCAGAACGTTAACTGGGTCTCTGGTTGAATAGCAATAATACTGCTAGACAGCCACTCCCCAGTAATGAACAGGGAGCAGAAAAATCTTTAGAAATGCCTGAAGTGATCATTTAAATGTGTGGCAGGAAGACAATTTAGATGCTTTGTCATTGCAGCCTCTACATTTCAATCATCAATCAGCAACTATTAAAGATCTCTATGAAATTAAATAGAACGTAAATCTTGTGGCAGAGTGGTAGTGTCCTTACCTCTTGTTCAACTCCCAGTTGCTGCAGACGGGTGTCATAGCATATTCGAGTTTGTTGATATAAAAAAAAAATGTCTAGAAGGCAAATCTAGGGCTGTTGTGATTATGTTCCAACCTTTGAACCAAGAGGCATGGGTTAAAGTTCTACCTAATCCTCAACTATGTGATAACATAGCTGAACAGGTTGATAACAATAAGCTGATGATTTAAATTGTATTACTCAGACAGACACCATTTATTGAGCTGTGGTAGTGTCCTTACCTCTGAGCCAGGAGGCACAGTTCTATTCCAGAATACTCTGGGAGTGTGTAATGACCTCTCAGAACAGGTTGACTCGGAAATTACCTATAGCCTCATGGATTATACAATCCTTCAGGAAAGAGGGCACTGGTGACATGGTAGTTGCGTCCATACCTCTGAGCCAGGAGAACTGGGTTCAAGTCCCCCTTGCATGGTGGTCTGTAATAATGTCTTTGATCTTGTTGAAAAGGAAACTATCTAGAACGTGAATCTAGGTGTTGAAAGAAAGAAATACCAACAATGATATAAAACAATTCATTGCAATTCCTAGACTTGAATGCAAAACAGCAGCAAGAAGAACTCCAGGAAACCAGCTCGACGTTCGAGAATGACTCCCGTCTCCAGGACTGCACTGACCACAAGGCACAGGAGTATTTCTGGAAGGTTTTTCAAAGTGAAGAAGTTGCGGCGGAGGCTTGCAGACACACGAAGGAGAGTAGAAGTGTCTACAACTTGCGGGCAAACCCTTCTTACTGTGAGACTGTTGACACATCCCTGGACTTTTTGTTCACATACCAATGCCCCCCCGGGGAGAGGCCTCCAGTGACCATTGCCTACTTGCTAATGACTTTTGTCTTCACAATGTTCACTGGTAGGTGCAGATGGGGAAAAGACCACATTCCAATTCTGCTGAAAGTCTGTGAATTAGCCTACGAAGGAATCTGTCAGGAGACTTCTGTTCTCGAGGAATCTTCCTGTCATCAGAGGCTCACTCTATCAGAATTGCGATCCCACATCCCGGCAGAGATTTTGGAGGGGGAGGAATTTGCTGGTGGGGTCACATACAGATTCCCTCATCCACCGGTTCAGGGTTTCTTGGCTGCGGTGGGTCTGCTTGTGAATGCTGATCCCGAAGAGCTCATCAGTGTCCTGGAGAAGCATTATGATGAGAGAGACGCGCAGTTTGTAGTGTTTCTGCGATGTCTCTTCGGCCTTTGCTCTCCAGCCCTGTCTCAGCTGCTGAAGGAACTCCTGGGTCCTGTACCGGGTGAAACCATTTGCAAGTTAACTGCATTCTTGGAGCTGAGAATCCAAGCGGGGATTCAAAACATGAACAGTGAGCTGGACAAAGTAGATCTTCTGAAGACATTGTGCAACCTATATGAATCTCAGAACGAAGAACTGGCCAGGAGGACTGTTGGTTCCACGAAGCAACTAGCATTTGGAGGGTGGAAACCTGTAAAGTTGACTCCCATAAATTGTATGGCTATTGCAGTCGGAATACAACTATGCCACACGGTTGAAGACCTCAATCTCAATAACTGTTATATTGAGGATGATGGATTGCGTTGCTTAGCACCAGTCCTACATCGGTGTAAAGTGCTGAGGTACTGTGATCTGTTGTTAAGTCATAGATGGTGACACCATAAGGAGGGAGAGATGGATATCATAGATTCATACCGTGCAGAAGAGGCCCTTTGGTCCATCAATGCCATACTACCAAAAATATATTACTACTAACACTAGTCCCACTTTCCTGCACTAGCCTTGAATAATATAACATTTCAAGTGCTCATCCCAGTACTTTTTAAATGTTGTGAGGTTTCCCGCCTCAACTACCCTCCCAGTCAGGGCATTCTGGTCTCCCACCACCGTCTGGATGATTTGTTTCTTCTCTCATCCCTTCTAAGACTTCTGCCTTTCACTTTACAGTTATGTCCCTTTATAATTGACCCTTTGTCTAAAGAAAACAGCTGCTTTCCATCCACCCTGTCCATAATTTATCAGATTTCACCCCTCAACCTTCCTTGCTCCAAAAAAAAACAACCCAAGCTTATCCAGCTTTTCTTCATCGCTGAAATTATGCATCCCAGGCAGCATGCTGGTGAATCTCCTCTGCACCCCTTTCCAGTACAATCCCATCCTTCCTATAGTGCGGGGACCTGAAACTGTACTCCAGCTGTGGCATAAACAAAGTCCTGTACAGCTTCAGCATGACTGCCCAGCTCTGATAATCTATGCCACGTCTGTTAAAAACATGTATCCCACGTGCCTTCTTAACAACACAATTAACCTGTCCTGCCACTTTCAGGGATCTGTAGATTGGGGGAGATTGGGGGATGGGGTGGATTGCACAACCTGCAATACCAGAGAAATGGTAAAGCACCAAAGGAGGACATTCGGCCCATTGTGCCTGCACTGGTTCTTCATAGAAACAGAGAATATAGGAGCAGGAGTAGGCTATTCAACCCTTTGAGCCTGCTCCTCCATTCAATATGATCATAGCTGATCATCCAACTCAGTACCCTGTTTCCACTTCCTCTGCAAACTATTTGATTCTATTTGCCCTAAGAACGGTATCTACATCTTTCCTAAAAATCTCCAATGTTGTGGCCTCCACAGTTTCCTGTGGTAGAGAATTCCACAGCCTTCCTACTATCTGGGTGGAGACATTTCTCCTCATCTCTGTCCTAAATGGACTACTCCTTATCCTTGGACTGTGAGCCCTGGTTCTGGAACTCCCTAGTCATCAGGAACATCAATACCACATCTACCTTGTCTCATCCTGTTAGAATTTTATAGGTTTCTATGAGTTCCTTCTTCAGCCTTCTAAACTCTAGCGAATATAACCCTACACATAGTGTCATAGCGTTGTACAGCATAGAAACAGACCCTTAGGCCCAACTTGTCCATGACACCCAAACATCCCAATCTGACATACTTCCATTTGCCAGCATTTGGCTCATATCCCTATTAAACTCTTTCTATCCGTATGCCCATCCAGATGCCTTTGAAATGTTGTAATTGTAACAGCCTCCACCACTTCCTTTGGCAGTTCATTGTATACACCACCCACTGCCTGAAAAACTTGCTCCTCAGGTCCTTTTTTAAATATTTTCCCTCTCACCCTAAACCTCTGGCATCTAATTTTTGACTCCCCCACCCTCGGCAAAATAACTTGGCTATTCACCCCATCCATGCCCCTCATGATTTTTATAAACCTCTGTAAAGTCACCCCTCACCCTACGATGCTCCATAATTGATCCAGTTTCTCCTTGAATAACAGTCCCACCATCTCAGGAATCACTCCCTCAATAGCCCGATGAGTATATTACCTAATGTCAATATCCTGCTTTCTTCCCCAAAACCTTCCACCCTTGTTGCTATTTAAATAACCATACAGTTTCCTCTTGATCACCTCAATTGCACCTGTCTCCATCACATTTTCAGGCAATGCATTCCAAATCCTAACTACTTGCTGTGTGAAAACATTTTTTTTTCTCACATCACCCTTGTTTCATTTGCACAGCATTTTAAATCTCTACCCTCTCATTAATTTTCCTTTCATGAGTGGGTGCAGCTTCTCCCCATCTTCTGTGTCCAGGCAGCTCGTTATTTTAAAAACTTCTGTTGCTATGTTCCACCACATTGTGAAAAAATGCCCCTGACATTCTGAGAATAAGTAATAATAATTGAATGTTTTGTGTAAAATAGTGTTATAGAATCATAGACTCAGAATTTTACAGGACTGAAAGAGGACCATTTGACACATTGTGTCTGTACGGCTTCTGAAAGAGCGATGCAGCCAGACCTACTCTCCAGCCCCATCTCTGTAGCCTTCTCCGTTTGTCACTTTCAAATATATATCCAGCTCTCTTTTGAAACCTCTTAGGGAATCTGCCTTCATTGCTCTCCCAGGCAGCGTTTTCCAAACCATAATAACTCTCTGAGTAAAGAAGTTTCTCCTCATCTCACTCCTGGCTCTCTTGCTGATAGTCTTGAAATTGTGACCCCTAGTTACTGACATTCTCAATAGTGGAAACCGAATATCCCTCTTTACCCTGTCGAAATTATTCATAATTTTGACCACCGCCATAGGGCCACCTCTTAATCTTCTCTGCTCCAAGGATAACATGCCCAATTTCTCTCATCTTTCCTTGTATTTAAAATCCCTCATTCCTGTCACCATTCTAGTAAATCTCTCTCCAGGACTTTAACATCCTTCTTTAAGTAAGGTGTCCAGTACTGAACTGTTTGATACTGTTGGATAGAAATATTATGAGATTTTGATGATGGCCGCTAATTAAATACTCATCTCTTTCTATCAACCTGTAGATTAAATGAGAACAAATTGAGTGACATGTCATCTGAAGGATTGTTTGCTGCATTGACCAGGACAGACTGCAAAATACATACGTTGGAGTAAGGAAATCTATTTGAATACAGATGCCATGAGAATTCCCCATTGGTGCCGAACCCTCATTTCCTTTCTTGTTCATAATTAATTTGAGTCATTTCTTTTGCTTCTGAATCTGCGAGTAGGAGTGCACTTCATTCAAAATAGTGTCTTTAGGATTAGACGTATTGCCTACCCTGACCATTCACCGGAATGTGTACAGGTCCTGTATGAGACTTCTTTTGTTATTAAAAAAAACAGCCATGTTTCTGAGGGCACTGGCCTTTGCAAACGCAGACTGTTTCGATCAGTTGGCAAACATTTGCCGACTTGACCACATGACCCCAAATCAGAGGTGAGCTCCGTGTGGGTGACATTATAACGGCCGCATGGCACTTTTCTTTCGTGTATAAGTGATATCTCGAAGAGGTTCTTAACCGAGCAACTGCATTTTCCACTGTCCAGCTTGCAAACAAAACTCTTCAGGTAACTTTGACAAGGTCGTGTCTCCTCAACTGTGTGTTCTTAACACTGTCAAGAGCTGCAAAAAACAAAAAACACTAAACGTTGAGCATTTATTTTATTCATTCATGGGACTATAGAATCCCTATAATGCAGAGAGAGGCCATTCAGCCCATCAGTTTTACACCAACGCTTCTAAGGGCATCCCTCCCAAACCCATCCCATTCTCATAACCCCACATTTTTACCATGGCTTACCTACCTATCCTGTATACTACAGGGCAATTTAGCATGGCCAATCCACCGAACATGCACGTCTTTGGGCCACGGGAGGAAACTAGAGCACCAGGCAGAAACCAACGCAGGGAGAACTTGCAATCTCCACACAAACAATCACTTGAGGCTAAAATCGAAGCCCGGTGCCTGGCACTGTGAGGTAGCAGTGCTATCCAATGAGCCACCATGCCAGCCTTGAGGTCATTGATGGTGTGGCCAGAATTTATTTCCCATCCAGAATTCGATTTAAGGCGGTTAAGAGTTGAACACATTGCTGTGGGTCTGGAGTCACATGTAAAAAAGGTCATCACTCTCCTGCTCTCTCATTAACTTCAGGGTCACCACGCTTCAGGCAAGGGGAGAGGTTGGAAAGGTAGTATCATCACGGTGACCTCAGCTGGCGCGGGCATGAAACGTCCACTGTTAGCATCACTCCACAGCATGAACCTGTTCCCACAATTTGGCTTTCCTCCCCTGAAGTGGCATTAGTGAACCAGATGGGCTTTTCTGCCAAAAAATCGATTACTCCATGCTAACCATTGCTGCCTCACAGCACCAGAGACCCAGGTTTGATCCTAGCCTTGGGCGACAGTCTGTGTGGAGTTTGATGTGGAGGTGCCGGTGTTGGACTGAGGTGGACAAAGTCAGAAGTCACATGACCCCAGGTTATAGTCCAACAGGTTTATTTGAAATCACAAGCTTTCATAGCACTGTTCCTTTGTCCGAAAGCTAGTGATTTCAAATAAACCTGTTGGACTATAACCTGGGGTCATGTGACTTCTGACTGTGTGGAGTTTGCACTCCTTGAGCTTGTGTGGAATTCGTCTGAGTGCTTCGATTTCCTCCCACAGTCCAAAGATTTACAAGTTAGGTGGATTGACCATGCTAAATTGCCCTGTAGCGTCCAGGGATGTGCAGGCTAGGTGTGTCAGCTGTGCTAAATGCAGGGTTAAAGGCGTAGGGATGTTCTTTGGAGGGTCGGCGCAGGCTCAATGGGCTGAACTCTTTCTGCACTGTCGGGATTCTGTGCATCAATATGGTCATTGTTCGACTCTTAATTTGAGATTTTTATTGCATTTAAATGTCACCATCTTCTGGGATTGGAACCTGGGGTTCCCCAAGACATTATGCAGATCTCTCTGGATTAGTCGTCCAGAGATAATTCCATTAGGTCACCCCCTCCCCATCGCAAGGGGCGCTCAGCTTCCCTTCTTCCAGTAGGGCATTTATATTGATAGGCACCGGCTACATTTACAAACCCATTCAGAGCACATCATGACAACAGCTCCCCATAACTGCAGAGTAGCATCAACACAGGTTATATGCTAACATCTCTGCATTTGGCATTCAATGCAAAAGCGGGAATCTCCACCCTGAGTGACACACCTCCTAAATTCATTGCAAAAACACACAGTAAGTAATGCAGCGGGCTATACATATTGCTGTTATACTTTATTTACAGCATAAAACCTCGTGACATTTGGGTTTTTATTTCTCGCTGGTTTATCAAGGGTGCCACTTGATAAGCTGCTGGTTAAAATAATGTTTGCTGTTAAATGGATGCAAGTCAGGCTATTAGTGCATGCCTTGCGAGATATTATTGTATGTTTTCAGGTAATTCATGGATGTGTATTTGACTCTTGCAGGTTGTGGGGTAACCATTTTACCCATGTGTGCGCTGAACACCTGGAGTCAGCTCTCCGTATTAACCAGACACTCGAAACACTGGTTTTGAGCCACAACAGTCTGGGTGATTTGGGAGCCAGAAGATTGACTGTAGCACTAATCGATCCTGGCTGCAAAATCAAGATATTGAGGCACGTGAATTCAGAATTTATATTAGCAAAAGTCAATAGCAGTATACCGTCATAGCATGGAGATTTAGTGATTGTAACGAGGTCAGTCAGTCAGCTGGACTTCATAGAGTGCGGATTCCATAGATTGGGACTGTTAATCTGGTCTCTCTAGTAGCTGACTCTGAAGAGACAGTACTAAAGTCAAAGATTTGTTCATGTGCAAATAAAGGGAGACTTGGTGATGGGATTATCAAGGGCATCAAGGGTTACGGGGAGAAAGCGGGAGAATGGGGTTGAGGAACTTATCAGCCATGATTGAATGACATAGCAGACTGGATGGGCCCAATGGCCTAATTTCTGCTCCTATGTCTTATGGTCTTATTATTACCAGCATCTGCGGAGTTGTTTTAGTGGTGACAAGAGTGGGATTCTACTGAGATGCTCCTGGCACAACAGGTGAGCTCCTGTGCGTTGCTTGCCACCTGCATCGGTTGCCAATTTGGTGGAACCTGACCTGGTGCTAAAGCTCCCCCGGGGTATCTCCAAGGGAAAGAACTGCCCTCTTGGACTCAGAGGGGGAGGGATATATGAATTCGAAGGAGGTCAGCCAGCTGGACCTCATAGGATATGAATTCCCTGATTGGGGCTGTTAATCTGGTCTAATCAGGGAGCCCTGGCTGACAAATAAAATAAACATACTGACACGCTGGTACCTGACTCTGAATGAGGCAGGACTTATGTCAAGGACTATTCATGTGTAAATAAAGGGAGACTTAGTGACGGGCTAACGTCCTCTGTGGAGTTATTTGAGGAATAATTTCCATTGCATTTGTCATGTAAAAGGGGGTTAATTACAGTCAGTCTTAAGAATAGTAATCCCTAAAATTAAACAGTGGTCATTTCACATTCAGCAGATTGGATTGCAATAGTCTCACTGATGACTGTGCACAGGATATTGACTTGTCCGTTAGTGCAAATTGGACCATGAAGGGCTTGGACGTGGACGGTAATTATTTCAGTGATAAATCCATTCTTCCATTCACACGTCTCATAAAACGCAACACAGGATTGAAGTGGATCAGGTAGGTACCCAGTCAGACTTGTGTAAATATTCTGCGAGATTTTTGTTTATTATCTGACATCATTACGAAGGAATGCATTTGCGATAACTGAGTAAACTGTGTTATGTAGCAATCACAAACAGTTTATTGAAATGTTTAAGCCCCTTAACGACTCTGTGCTAAAAATGCATTATTGTACAGTTCATCACAATCTTTCTATGTTTTGTCCCAACTTTACAATCAGTGTTGACATTTTCTTCCCAGGTTGGCTGGTAACAAGTTTTCGTTATTTGGAAGAACACAACTGAGGTCATTGCAACTTCTAAGAGAAGGCTTTGAAGTGTGGGTGTGAACTGTATGCAATTATGAGACTTGCAATGAACATGAAGAAATGCATATCCTTTCTTTCTGTATTTCACTTGCAGTGCAAGGATACTTCTGTATTAATCTGTAAATATTACATATACAATTAACTGTTGTAATTATATTTGTACTAAGGTATATTTGTATAACTAGCCTACTTTATTGTCCTAATACGAATTACTGCAAAGTAAAATGAGGAATTTAAAATGGCATTAGCTTAATGTTTAAACAGTATTCAAAAAAAAATCACCAACTTGATGAATTCCTAGGTGCAGTCGTCAACACAATTACTTTGTCGTGTGCTCTGAAAGAGACAGCATTCTCACAGCAGTACACAGGGTAAATGCAGGGAGGATGTTTTCGATGACTGTGGTCACAGTTGAAGGATAAGGGTTAGGCCTTTTAGAACTGAGATGAGGAGGAATTTTTTCACTCATAAAGTGGTGAGCCTGTGGAATTCATTGCCACGGGAAACTGTTGAGGCCAATACATTGAAGACTTTCAAGAAAGGCACAGATATAGTTGAAAGAATTAAAGGAATCAAAAGTTATAGGGAGAAAACGGGGTTATGATACTAAATTGGATGATCAGCTATGATCAAATTGAATGGTGGAGCAGGCTGGAAGGCCTGAATGGCCTATTTCTGGTCCAATATTTTATGATTCTAAAATCATTAGTAAATACCTCATTTCTGGATGAAAATGACGTGGACTATCTGTAACGAGTTTCTAAAGGCAGGATATACAGTGAGTAAACTCACTTCGCTGCAATCACTTTGGAAGTGTACTGACTATCTCTTAATGGACAAATGGAAGTCGAAGCAGTTACTTAAGTAGAGTCATAGAGATGTACAGCATGGAAACAAGCCCTTCAGTCCAACTCATCCATGCAGACCAGATATCTTAAATTAATCTAGTCCCATTTGTCAGCATTTGGCTCATATTCTTTAAGCCTTTCCTAGCCATCTACCCATCCAGAGATAGTAAGAACTGCCGATGCTGGAGTCAGAGATAACACAGTGTGGAACTGGACTAACACAGCAGGCCAGGCAGCAACACAGGAGCAGGAAAGTTGATGTTTCGGGTCAGGTCCCTTCTTCAGAAATGGGGGGGGGGGAAGGGAGCCGAAAAATAAATAGAGAAAGTAGGTGGGATGGTGATAGGTTAGTGCAGGTAGGTAGTAGTTGGGATTGGTCAGTGAGGTGGGAGGAGTGGATTGGTGGGAGAGAAGATGGACAGGTTGTGTCAGGTCAAGGAGGCGGGGATGAGAGGGAAGGTTGGTCATGGGATGAGGCCGGGGTGGGGAAATTTTGAAACAGGTAAAGTCCACATTGAGACCATTGGGTTGTAGGCTTCCAAGTAGGAATATGAGGTGCTGCTCCTCCAGTTCGCAGGTGGCATCATTGTGATACTGGAGGAGGCCCAGGATGGACATGTTGTCCAGTGAGTGGGAGGGGGAGTTGAAATGGTTTGCGATTGGAATGTGTCATCGTTTGTTGCGAACAGGGCGCAGGTGCTGTACAAAGCGGTCTCCGAGTCTCCGCTAGATCTCACCGATATAGAGGACGCCGCATCAGGAGCAACGGATACAATAGGCCACATTGACGGATGTGCAGGTGAACCTCTGTCTGATGTGAAAGGTTTGTTTGGTGCCTTGGATAGAGGTGGGAGAGGGAGGTGTAGGGGCAGGTGTAGCTCTTCCTGCGGTTGCAGGGAAAGGTGCTGGGGGTGGTGGGGCAAGTGGGGACTGTGGAGTGGACGAGGAAGTTACGGATAGAGCAGTCCCTAAGGAAGGCAAATAGTTGTGGGGAGGGAAATTTATCTTTGGTTGTGGGGTCGGATTGCAGAATGCGGAAGTGGCAGAGAATGATATGTTGAATACAGAGATTAATGGAGTGATATGTGAGGACAAGGGGAGTTCTGTCTTGGTTTTTGTTGTGAGGAGGGGATGTGAGGGCAGAGGTGTGGGAAATGCAAGAGACACGGTCGAGAGCATTTTCGACCATCGAAGGGGAGAAGTTGCGGTCCTTGAAATAAGAGGACATCTGCGATGTTCGAGAGTGGAATGCCCCATCTTGGGAGCAGATGCAGCAGAGGTGGAGGAATTGGGATTAGGGGATCGCATTCTTGCAGGAAAGTGGGTGAGAGGAGGTGTAGTCTAGGTAGCTGTGGGAATCGGTTTCGCGGCAGTCACCAGAGATGGAGACAGAGAGGCCCAGGAAGGAGAGATGGTCCAGGTGAACTTGAAGTTGGGGTGAAAGGTGTTAGTAAAGTTGATGAACTGTTCAAGCTCCTTATGGGAGCACGAGGCAGCGCTGATACAATCATCGATGTAGCGGAAGAAGAGGCGGGCGATGAGGCCAGTGTAGCTGCAGAAGAGGGACTGTTCCACGTATCCCTCAAAGAGGCAGGCATAGCTTGGGCCTGTGCAGGTTCCCATGGCCACCCCCTTAGACTGCAGGAAGTGGGAGGAGTTGAAGGAGAAGTTGTTAAGGATAAGGATGAGTTCGGATAAGTGGATGAGGGTGTCGGTGGAGGGGGACTGGTTGGGTCTGCAGGAGAGGAAGTAGTGGAGGGCTTCCAGGCCATCCACGTGGGGAATGCAAGGGTACAGGGATTGGGTTTCCATAGTGAAGATGAGGTGTTGGGGACCAGGGAATTGGAAGTCTTGGAGGTAGGGGAGGGTGTGGGTGTTGTCCCAGATGTAGGTGGGGAGTTCCTGGACCAGGGGGGAGAAAACAGATTCAAGGTAAGTGGAGATAAGTTCAGTGGGGCAAGAACAGGCAGAGACAATGGGTCAGCTGGGACAGTCAGGTTTTTGGATTTTGGGAATAAAATAGAAATGGGCAGTGTGGCGTTGGGGAATGATGAGGTTGGAGGCTGTGGGCAAGAGGTCACCTGAGGTGATGAGGTTGTGAATGGTCTGGGAAATGATGTTTTGATGGTCAGGGGTGGAGTAATGATCGAGGTGACGGTAGGTGGAGGTGTCAGAGAGTTGGCGCCTGGCCTCGGCGATGTAAAGGTCAGTGCGCCATACCATAACTGCGCCTCCCTTATCCGCGGGTTTAGTAGTGAGGCTAAGGTTGGAGCTGAGGGAGCGGATGGCTGCACATTCCATGGGGGCGAGGTTGGAGTGGGTGAGAGGGGTGGAGAGGTTGAGGCGATCAGTGTCGTGATGGCAATTGGAGATGAAGAGGTTGGGGGAGGGTAAGAGGCTTTGGGGTGGTGTCCTGGAAGATGGGGTGTGTTGGAGGCGGGAGAAGGGGCCTGTAGAGGGTGGATTAGACTCACTGTTAAAGAAATAGGTGCGGAGGTGGAGGCGGCGTAAAAACTGTTTGACGTGCAAATGTGAACGGAATTCATTGATGTGTGGGCAGAGGGGAATGAAAGTGAGTCCTTTTCTGAGGACTGACCATTTGTCCTCAGTGAGGGGGAGGTCTGGGAGGATGGTGAAGACCCGGTTGGGCTTGGGACTGGGGTTGGGTGTAGAGTTGGTGGCTGGGTTGGAGCTGGCTGTAGGAGCAAACTTGGTGATGTCACCAGGAACGTTGGCAGTGGGTGGGGCTGTGTCATTGATGATCTGCCCATCCAGATGCCTTTTAAATGTTATAATTGTACCGGCCTCGACCACTTCCTCTGGCAGCTCGTTCCACACACACACACACCACCCTCTGTATGAAAATGTTGCTGCTTAGCTCCCTTGTAACTCTTTCCCCATCTGACCTTAAACCTATGCCCGTCTAGTTTTGGACTCCCTTACACTGGGAAAAAGGTCTTGGCCATTCACTCTATCCATGTCCCTCATGATTTTATAAACCTCTATAAGGTCACCCCTCAGCCTGTGATGCTCCAGGGAAAATAGCCCTAGACTATTCAGCCTCTCCCTATAGCTCAAACCATCCAGAGATTCAGCTCTCAAACCCTATGTGGCTTTGCACCCTATGTAGAAGCATACTCTAGCTTTTTGTTTTCTTGCGCACTTTTCGGCTTTGTTTTGTTATTTATACACACTTCCACTATCTATCACTGGATCTCTAAAACCCAAAATTCAACAACTATTCCTTCCTTTTCACCACTTACAAAAAGAAAGGGAAGTGTTGTTACAGTTGTACAAAGCATTAGTGAGACCGCATCTGGTGTATTCTGTACATTTTTAGTCCCCTTACTTGAGTGGGGGGGGGAATGTAAGGATGAGATAGACATATTTTTAATCAGTAGACCGTTAACTAAGGTGGAAGACCATTGAATTGAATGCAAATTACTGTTATGGACAAGAAATTGGTTGAGTGATAGGAAACAGAGAATTTGAATGATGGAATAATGTGCTCAAATTTGCAGGATTTGGCTAGTGATGCCCCAAAGGGATTTGTGTTGGAGCTGCAATTATTCACAATATTCATAATGACTGCAATGTTGACAAAAAAAGCCAAATGTCCAAATTTGCTGATGACACAAAATTGGACAGCATTGTAGATAGCGTTGGCGATAGCATAAAGTTATAACAGGATATTGATGGATTAATTGTATGGACAAGACTCTGGTAGATGGAGGTTAATATAAGCAAGGGAGGGGTTTTATCCATTTGGAGCAAAAAAAAATCGCTTTTTATTTGAAGGCACAAAGTTAAATACAATGGATGTTCAAATGACGTTTTGGAGATTCAGGTAGATAGCTTTTCAAAAATGACATGAACAGGTGTAGAAAATAGTCAAGAAGGCAAAGTTTTTGATGCGTTCCTGTAAGGCAGCTGCATTTCAAAGGCAGCAGAACAAAGTATTATAAAACTGCCTGATATTTTACCTTACAACTGTCCCATTCTGCATTACTTATTAAAAAAGAGACTGCAAAATGAGTTAGAATAGGAAATTTCTTTGCGGGAATTCATGCTTCCGAAAGCAGAAAGCTTAGATCACCCCTCTATCTTCTAAATTCTAGAGAATTAAGGTCTAGTTTGTCTACTCTCGCTTCATAGCTTAAATCCTGAAGTTCTGGCATCATCTCTGTAAGCCACGACCGTAAATCCTTCCTATGTGAGGATCTGCTCACAGTAGTCTATATGGGCCTGATTAAGGTTTTGTATAACTGTAGCATAACATCTGCGTCCTTGTACTTCACCCCTTTACATATGAAAGTCCACAT